AGATGCACAGTTATTTGATCTTTTAGGGATTAATACATACTCTGAGTAAATTACTAAATAAAAAGTTATTTTATTAAATACAGAAAGTAGGATTTACGTGGTTCCAAGTAGTAACAGACAGAACAAAGCAAGTCACCAAGCAAAATAAAATAAAATGCGCAAATCTATGTCTAATCAAACTGAATACAGATAATCTCACCCTCAGAGATGCTTCAGTAAGTTTTTTCTCAGGCTGGACACCTTCCAGGCCTGGGCACAATGCTTTCCCCTAGTACAGTTCTTGTTCCAGCTCAGGTGATAGCTAGGGGATTCTTCATGATGGCACCTCTCCCCCTTGTTCTCTTCCACCCCTTTATAGATCTTTTGCATAAGGCGGGAACCCTTTGTCCCTCTGGGTTTCCACCCCCCTCACTGGAAAAGCACCAGGTTAAAGATGGATTCCAGGTCAGGTGACATGATCACATGTCATTGCAAGACTTCATTACCCACTTGCCAGCACACACATGTACAGGAAGACTCACAGGTAAACACAGCCATCTACGGATAATGGTCCTTGTTAATGGGAGTCATCAAGATTCCAAACCACCATTAATGGCCCACACTTCACATAATTACGATAGGCCCTCAGAGTTATATTTCATATTTCTAGTTTTAGATACAAGAGTGGTACATTTATACAAATAGGATGATCACACTCAGTAGATTATAAGCTTTGTAATGATACCTTACAAGAGACCTTTTGCATGAAGCATATCCCAGTTTCGTTATATTCACTTATTACCATATTTTTCTAAAACTATCCCAGTTACATTATATTCACTTATTATCATGTTTTTATAAAACCATATAGACTGCACAATGTCACACCCGCAAGAGTGTGCTTATATCAGTTCCCCAAACAAAATATAATATACCAGCAAAAACACTTTTTTGATGGTATAACTGTATCTAAATTAGGCTTTTACCAGGACAAATATATATCACACCCCTAAGAAACATTACTGTACTGGCAAATTCTAGAGTAGACCAGTGCTCAGTATGCTGAACTGGTAATGATGCTAACATATTGAGGAAGCACAAGATGTTATGCTATGTTCACTCAGCAAGCTGACCAAACTGAATCAGAGTCTCATAAGGCTCTTTGGCTAGGTCAAAGGTGAAGTGGTAAATTACTGCTTGGGAAGCCACAGTTAGATATAATGCAGACCTGGCAGTGGTCGTTTTACATGTAAGAAAGGGAATGGTATGAAGAGCTGTGCGATTGGCTCTTGCAAACAGATGTAGTAAGAAAAAATATGTAAACTGATTTGTTGCTATCACTACAAGCATAACTGGATAAGTTATGGTATGTAACTAAGGGTTGGTCTACACTGGGAAACTAGGTTGATATAACTATGTCGCTCTGAGGTATGAAAATCCACCCCCCGAGCAACACAGTTAAACCGACCTAAACCTGGGTGTGGCCAATGCTAGGTCACTGGAAGACAATAAGGGCTGAGGAATATAACATGGGGGAGGGCAATAAGGGGCTAGGGGAGATATAACATGAAGGAGGTCTGGGGCAATAAGAGCTGGGGGTAGATATAACATGCGGGAGAGCATTAAGGATCTGGGGGTATAAAGTGCAGGGGACATGAAGAGGCTGGGGGGTTATAGCATGGGGGGCAATAAGGGGCAGGGGATATAAAGTGCAGAGGGAATTAAGGGGAGGAGGGTATAATGCACAGGGGCAATAAGGGGAGAAGGGTATAACGTGCAGGGGGGCCAAGTGCAATAAGGGAGGCGGTATAACACACGGGTCCCAGGGCAGTGAGGAGGTGGGAGGTATAACAGGCAGGGGGGAGGGGCAATAAGAGCTGGCGGTGGTTATAACGCACAGGGGGCAATAAGGGGAGGAGGTTATAACGCGGGGGGGGGGCAAGTGCAATAAGGGGGATATAACACACGGGTCCAGGGGCAGTGAGGAGGTGGAAGGTATAACAGGCGGGGGAGGGGGCGCGATCCGAGCCACTCACAGGTCCAGGAGGAGCCGGACGCCCCCGCAGGCCCCGTCCCAGCCCCCGCCCGGAGCATTCATGGCCCAGGCCGCTCGCTCCCGGCCCTGCAGCCCAGCTGCTCTTTAGGGACCATCCGCCATTTCCGTAGGACGCACAGTGCCGAACCGGGCCGCTTTTCACTCCCGCCCCTCACGTGTCCAGCGGGTGTCGGGCTACCGAGGCCCCCAACGCGCGGAGCTTTCCGTGCGGTCACTGCCTCGCTGTGAAATCGCGGCGCCGCATTTTTCGAGAAGGCGACGAGTTTGTAGCGATCCCCTGAGTGGGGCTGAGGGATGATGGGAAATGTAGTCTTGTCAGGGAGCTGCTTCTTCCCTGAATGGCAGGGGTTTTCCCAGAGCCCCGGGGAAAGCCAGACTCAGACCCGCAGCTGCGGCTCAGCCCAATATTGCCAACCCCCAGGGGTCAAAAACAATGAGCCAAGCCCCCCAAAATCATGAGATTGGTTTAGTAATAATGAGCTTTGTAGAAATAATAGAGTCATAGAAATGTGGCTCTGGAAGGGACCTTTGAGAGGTCATCAAATCCAGGCCCCTGCGCTAATGTAGGCTCAGAAACCTGGACCATCCCTGCCAGGTGTCTCTCTAACCGGTTCCTAAAAACCTCCATGCAACAGGGATTCCATAATAAGTAATAAATAGTTTCGGGTTCCTTTTGTTGTCTTAGTTTCTAAGGTTCATGCAGGTCACCTTTTAACGCTTTTCTCCACAATCGTGAGGATTAGAAACTTGCTTTAAAAAAAAAGGGGGGGGGGGGAAAGCTAAGATTCTCAGCTGCAAGAGTTGGTGCTTCAAGAAAAAGAGTAAATATTGTGAAACTCATGAGATTTGGCAAGAATGTCCTCCCCATCCCCGAAGTCTGACTCCACTGAGGGTTAAGACTGGTCTATACATTGTTTTTGCCTTAATTTAACTAAATGTATTAATGCAGTATAAACTAATATAAACACTTAAATAAATCAGAAAAGAAGATAACTGCATCCACATCAGGGGATTTCATTAATTTAACTACATTGGTTGCTATATTAATTTAGTTGAATCAGTGCCAAAACTATGTCTAGACCAGCCCACAGCAGAGCCGGCTCCAGGCATCAGCATGGCAAGCAGGTGCTTGGGGCGGCCAATCCGGAAAGGGGCGGCACATT